GGACGTCTGACCCCGTCCGAAGGGCGTATGATCCGATGAACTGGACACCGGCTCCCAATGGACTGCGGTTTTCGCACACCGCCCCGAGGCCTTGCGGGTCAGGCTTTGGCTAGCCGAAGGCTCCGGTTGTGGATTCCTCAAGAAAATTCACCTGCCTTGGCCTGGGCAACCTGGCAGTACTCAGCCCACAAGCCAATCATGGAACATTTTTTTTATAAAGATTATTGTACCGTGATTTGTTTGGCACACAGTCTGTCCCCATAGCCCTTCGATACTGGTTACTCCGACGTCCCAGGCTAGTTGGGCCACTCTACTTCAGAGGAGATCTACGTTCATGGCTCCAAAGTTTCTAGCCATTTTAGTGGTAGCTTTCGGATGCTGCATGCAGAATGTAAGTCTAATGCATACATGGTCACTCTTACCTAACGGTGGGAGTAACTTCAATTCTATGACATCTGTAGGTTGCTTCGTAATCACCGGATCCAGTAGTGTGGGAAGGCAACCCGTCATGTATCTGGTGTTTTCTTTTACGGTTTGCCTCATGGTCTTTACATGAAGCCCCTCCAACAATGCCTCTTCCTATGTTCCTGATGGGCTCGTTTCGAGCTCCCAATCTATGTTTGGCCTGTTGAAATCACCCACTATCAGAGTCTTGCCAGGTTCCTTCACTAGGTCTGCAAGGACTCGAAGGACCTTAATATCCTCTTCACGACTCGAACTCGGGGGCCAGTAAATGCAGGGTTTTAAACGACGGTTATTCGCAAATGTTGAATATTTTGTTCGAAGTGCTCAGAGCCAATGCTAACTGCTTCAAAAGTCTTTTCTCTCGATCAAAACAACCAAATTGCCGTATATATTTCACTTTAGTGAAAAAGACGGGTGTTCTCGGCTGAGTGCTTACTTTTGCCGCTCCGGATCTATCAGCTGTCTACCACATGTCATGAATGACCGCGAGGAGGACCGATTATTGAGTCTCATGAAGAATGTTTTTGGATTAACCTCTTTCAAAAGTGAGCTCCAAGAACAAGCTATCCGTCATATAGTCCTGAGTGAGTTCTTTTATCCTGAGTTAAAAACGTTTTTATTCAGAGAATTCAGATGTGTTCATTTCGATGCCAACGGGATCGGGAAAATCACTCTGTTTCCAACTTCCTGCCGTCTGCTCAAGTGGTGTCGCGCTGGTGGTCTCCCCTCTCCTTGCTCTTATTAACGATCAGCTAGCTCATTTATCTCATTTGCGAATCAATGCTGCCACTATTAACTCTCGTCTGACTGAAAAGCAGCGAAAAGATGTGGTAGAGAAATTACTTAATAGCAATATTATGAAAAATGGGTTGCCAAAATTGCTTTACATCACACCGGAACAGCTGCAAACAGAGGCTTTCGCAAACCTTGCCAAAAAGCTTTATAAGGCGGGATCTCTGAGTTACTTTGTGGTTGACGAAGCACATTGTGTATCAGAGTGGGGTCATGACTTTCGACCGGCTTATCTCTGCCTTGGGAAGGCACGAAACGCTCTTTTCCCTTCGATACCGTGTATAGCTCTGACTGCTACAGCAACACCTCGAGTTCAGACAGATATAATCAATAATTTGCAGCTTGGAGGAGGACTTAGAAGCGCCACAACGCAATCAAGTTTAGGATTCAAAGAATTTAAATGTGGAATTTTCAGAAAAAATCTTTTCTACGACGTCGTTTTTGCGGATTTGTTGGAAAATCCATACGAAGATGTGTTTAAATTTGCCGCTACCTGTCTTTCTTGGGATCGAATATCCCGGTCGGATTGGGTAAACTCTCAATGCATATATATCTCATTGAGTTTCAGAAAAATATAGGTTCCGGAATCATATATTGCCGTACACGATTTGAATGTGAGACCATGGCTTCGCGACTTTCATCACAGGGATTACCTACCCGGGCATACCATGCAGGACTTTCCAAAGAAGATCGTGAAAGCGTGCAGCTGGATTGGTCCACGGATTTGATACCTGTCGTCGCAGCAACCATCAGTTTCGGGATGGGTGTTGATAAGCCTAATGTCAGGTCAGTTTGAATAGTGAGTTGCTTTTCGCAGGAAGATGACGCCTAATTGCTTGCATATTTTATAATGCCCACAGATTTATTGCTTGTAGGAATCGGAATCTTTTCACTTAGAGAGAAATCACGCAGAAAATACTCGTTAATTTTCATTCTGTTTAACAATGAGACCAATTTAATGAAAAAATTACAATCACTATCCACGAAACCGCCCACCGAAGCGGTGATCCCAAAGAATCTCCAAACCCTGAAACGCAACAATGCAGCTGAATCAAGCCAGCTACCTGCTATCTTTCAAGATGGCGGAGAAGCTCTCTTGAGAGGGCCTGCGAGACTGTTCTGGAAGATCTAGTAAACTGGAAGTGAACCCCACACATGAGGAAAATCGATTGTTACGTCCATAAACAAGAGCTGTCGCAACACCTGTTCCTACCACAGGGGCATAAGTCTGATTCCAATAGCGCCAAAGCCACTAGCGTTCGTTTTATTACGCAGACTAAGCCCATTTCGCGAAAGGCAAATCCGCTAGGAGCATTCCGGGTTTCGTGATCGCATAGATCAAATCTTCAGCCTTCGTCAGCTGCTAGAACACCGCCCCACATGCCGACGACAAAAAATCCTTGTGTTTTTGTACATCAAAGCGACCTTCGGCTCCTATCTCCCCGCACTGTGTAACTGTTTGCGGAGATACGGAGTACCCGAAAAGTATATTCTACTTCTAAAAGCTCTCTACCGCTAGACCTCAGGGAATGTTAGGGCCTATGCTGAACTTTCGCCCTCATTTCCCGTCACTAGTGGCGTACAACAGGACTGCCCTATCTTTCCGTTTCTCTTCAACTTTGCCATAGATTATGTTCTACAGAACACGTTACATGACGTAACGAACACTGGCGTCGAGCATCCTCCTGGGGCAGAGTTGTAGACTTATAGTATACCGATCATATTACTCGGTGGCAACGCAGCGGCGATTCAAGTATTGCTAAATCGTTTGACAATTGAGGTTACTGGTCATGGTATGTCTTTTACATCTTCAAAGTGCAGAGTGTTGGAAGACTAGCAGGAAGCTCTTCATTGGTACTATCATCGGGCAACTACACCCTGGAAGTAGTCGAAAGCTTTATCTACCTCGGGAGTTGCACAACGGCTGGCGGAGGTGTGGGCGGGGAGATCCCTCAGTGCGTGATCAAAGCTAGATTAGCGTTTGCTAATCTGGGGTTTATCTGGCGCCGGTGCGACGTATCTCTTTCACTGAATGGGCGTGTATTGCGCAACGGTACGCACCGTATTGCTCTATGTCGCACGGTGCACTGAACGACCAAGGTGGAAGTGTGTGGAGGCAACGCTTATCAACGTTCAGTAAAACAAAAGCGTGAAGTAAAACGCGAGTGACAAAGCAGAGTCATTATAGGTCGTCGCGCAAGATACTCAGGACCGCGGTGCCAATTACATCCATCGAATTAGTAATAATGATCTGCTGAGGAGATCGTAGTTTGTAACCTCATCTTTCGTCTCACCTGCCGACTCTGATATTGCTTCGGCAAAATTATTTTGTCATTCGGCAATCGTCTTTGTCAAATAACATTGAACCTTAATTTATTGCGGTGATGAGCTCGAATAATTGAGCGATGAACGAGAGAGACAACGGAGAGCCGGAACCGAGGCTTTTATCTTCTAACAACACCGGCAACCATGGCTGGAACCGTTCTGGAAAGCAGGCAGGACTTCTGTCAGACTCCATTCGGGTGGAATGAATTCAGTATTCCAGATAGTTTGGAGTAAGGAAATTAGTTCTCGGACAAAACTTGCACCACCGTCTTTGTAAAGGGCCGGAGGGAGCTCATTTGGACCGGGTGATTTGTAGCGTTTCAGAAGTCTGAGCCCTCGCGAGATTTTTCGGTAGGCAATGAAATATTCACAGACCATGGACCACCGCGTTCATCAGGAGGTGGTGTTTGTGATGTCAATGACCAACTGAATTGTTGATGAAATTGCTCCACCCAGCTCCCAAGCTGACGTCGTAAACTGTGTATACATTCGCCATTAGTTTCGCATATGGTTAGGTGTCTCGGTTTCCGGGTTGGGATCCAAAAGACTCCGAAACAGCATGGTTGGAGACATTGAAGATCATGGCTTCGAACCGACAGCACTGGCGATCATGCTGTCACTTCCTATCAGACCAGAATGCTTGAAATAATATGCATGC